CATTCCAACACGCATTTTTTCCCTCCTTCTCCCCCACCTTCCCCTCCTTCCCTTCATCCGCCGGAAGAATTATTTCAACACTCTAATGATTGAGCCAGCAGACGAATAATCGTGAGATTGTGGGCACGGGGGTTCGAGGTTCAGCTTGGTCCGACCTTGTGTCCATGGGGAGTTTCCCGTTTGGCACTGTCCAATAGAAGATGTGGAGCAAAAAAGTTAAGTGAGGATAAAGAATAAAGAACAATATGGCTGAATCGACAACATCAAGGGAGGAACTGGCCTAGATCTAAGTAGTACAGAGTGTATAAAGACAGCTTGCGACCGCAAGCAATAGTGGGAGTCTGCACATCAACGTCTGAGCCAGAGATGACACCTCCATGTTTCTATACATGTATTTAATTTGAGATGAACTTTGAAATTCAGAGGTACCGCCTCTTAACCCTATCCGTACGTCGTGTTTTACTATCGTATCCATTCAACGTGGAGAACTCTGTGCCACCACTTTCTAAAGAGGAAATTTGCTCGTTAATCCTATCCATACGCTTTGCATAGTAGTCTGTCAAAATTAATGATTTTTTGAGAAATACTGGAATTTTCAAAAAGATCTTCGTACTAGAAGTATTCTAAAATTTGAAGAATGCAACCCCGAGGGTACAAAATGACCCAGGGCGTCTGGATAGGGTTCAATAACCTGGTAGTGTTGCATGGGGCGTAAAAACTTTCTTTTCTTTTTTTTTGAGAAGTCTTTTGCATCCACCGCCTTGTTCTTTTTCTTCCCAAGGGAGACGATGGTGAAAAGAGAGTGATATCAGAGGAGGAGAAAAAAGGTGGGAGTCGAACGATTCAATTTTCTTTCACTTTTTTTTCACTGTGTGTTTCTTTGCTTCTGTTATTGTTTTTGTTCACCGACTTATGTGATATACTTGTATGCTTCACAGTCGCGTGAAGAAAACACAAGTTTGATTCTCATGACAGGCATTTTTGTTTGTTTGTTTGTTTGTTTGTGTGTGTGTTTTTTAATCAAATATCTCATTCTGTCTGTCCGGACATTGTGACCATATACATTCTTTTACAATCATTTTCAAAATATTTATATCTTCTGACACTTATTCTCTATCTTTTACAACCATTCACATTGACTTACAATAACTTACGATTATTTACATTCATATACAATCATTCACACTCATTTACAACCATTTGTAACTATATAGTGCAATTCACATTTACTTATAAAAACGTACAATCATTTACAATTCTTTACAATCATTCAAACCTGTCTCCGCTTGTCTGTGTCGCCGTGGGTGGTTGTTGGGTGCTCTGGTGTGGTTTGCTTCTTTTTTTCCTATCAAACGGCTATCGTCCTTATCTCCCCTTCTTCTTTTTTATGTTTGTTGCTTTCTTGTAACACCTCTAATTTTCTGGCGCTCTTATGACTTTATGCAGTTGCGAGCGCCGTAAAACCTCTACTAAAGCTAAACTGTCTGTGTCACCGGTTCAGAAATCAAAGAGGCGTTTGCCATCCTGGATGATGATGGGGACGGGAAACTGTCCCTGGATGAGATGAAGACGTTGTTGCAGTCACAGTTCATGGTGTTTACAGACACGCAAGTGGAAGATGCTGTCAGGGAACTGGATGAGGATGGTATGTGGTAGTGTGGTTGTTGTTGTTGTGACTGTGTGTGTGTTGGGGGGGGGGGGGTTGTTGTTGTGGTGGTGGTGGTTGTGGTTGTTGTGGATGAGATGAAGACGATGCTGCAATTGCAGTTAATTGTGTTTACAGATGCCGTCAGCGAACTGAATGAGGATGGTATGTGGTGGTGGTGGTGATGGTGATGGTGATCGTGATGGTGATGGTGATGGTGTTGGTAGTAGTGGCGGAGATAATGACAGTGGTCGTGGCTATGGTTATGGTTTATAGTGATGGTGTTGATTCTGCTGATGGTTGTGGTAGTGGTGGTGATTGCGGTGGTGATAGTGGTGATTGTCATAATAATATAGAATGTAAATCGCATAGAACCTATTGTTGAGCGGGGATATAGAATGCTATTTATTAAATTATACTTATTATTTGTCGTTATTATTATAACTCTTAGATGGGCGATTTGTTAGCTCATTAGGTATCACACTGGACTACGGAACGGGTGGTCCAGGTTTGAATCCCACACTGAGCGTTCTAAAACTCGTGTCTTTTGTGGACTTTTCAAGTTTTCAAGGCTGTCAACCCATTTGCGTTGTCCCCGCCTTAGCTGCAGTCGGGTCTTCCTGGTCGTCTCTGATTGCCTCATGCGTCTCAAGACATGGGGGTCTCTAAGTCTAAGTCTTAGTAAACCCAATTGTGGGGGTGGTTGGCGGGTGCTCTGGTGTGGTTTGTTCCTTTTTTCCTATAAAAAAATATATCGTCTTTATCTCCCCTCCTTCTTTTAGGTGATTGTTACTCTCTTGTAACACGTCTAATCTTCGTCATTCATTGTGTTGCAAGTGCCGTAAAACTCACAAAAACTATTTAAAAAACCACACAAAAACCCCGTTTGTCTCGGTCCCTTTTGAGATGGACATCAAAGTAATAGTCTTAAATAACATAATAGTCTTGATAGGGGTGTGAAATCAATAACACTTACTTTACTTTACCTCTTTTCAGGTAGTGGCTCTATAGAGTACGATGAGTTTGAGCGCTACGTGATTGCCAACAACTTGTCGAAGCCTACGGCGGAGGAGTTTGGCTCTGAGATGAAGGACGCCTTTGAGATGTTTGACACGGACAACGACGGGTACATCGACGCTGGGGAGTTCAAAACGTTTATGCAGACTTTGGGTGAGATGGCTGGCTGGACTTTGGGTCAGATGGGGCTGGGTGTGGGGGATTTACTGGTGTAATAGTGGTGAATGATGTATTCACGTCATGTGGATGAGTGGGTGGTGAGATGGCGTTGTGGACTTTT